GCAGCTGGGCAATCCGCCATAGATGAAAATAGATGAAAATAGGTGGAGCGGACCACGGACACCACCTGGGTTTCCATGGTAAGCGCCAGGTCCAGATGTACCCCCAAGCTGCGGACCTCACTCTTTGCGGCAACGGTTATCCCCCCAAAAGAAACGGAGTTACCTATACCGCTGATGGAAGGACCACCCACCCTCAAGACCTCCATAAGGATGGAGGCAGCAGGAAAAGAAGATCTAATACAAGATGAATTGGCTCTCTAAAAGAATCCACATGTTTGGGTTTGCAAGAGCTGAGGACTGTTGAGGGCAGGACATTGGAGACTGCTCATTTATAGGTTCACCAAAAATTGGAAGCGACTTGATGCCACATAACAACAAAATATTGTATCATACTCAGTTGTACTGCTTTACTTACTTTTCATGCTTATTTGTTCATGATCAAAATATTTAAACTTGCTTCCAGAGCCTCACTTTGTCCATGCAGTGGATTATGGGGACTGTTGAGGACAGGACATTGGAGACTGCTCATTTATAGGTTCACCAAAAATTGGAAGCGACTTGATGCCACATAACAACAAAATATTGTATCATACTCAGTTGTACTGCTTTACTTACTTTTCATGCTTATTTGTTCATGATCAAAATATTTAAACTTGCTTCCAGAGCCTCACTTTGTCCATGCAGTGGATTATGGTGACTATATATACTTCTTCTTTGGAGAAATATCGGTAGAATACTATGGCGTGGAAAAGGTAAAGAATTTTTTTTCATAAACCAGTGAAAGTTAAGAATAAACGTGAGATGAGAGTCATACATGATAATTGTATACTCATTATGTGGTGTTCCTGATGCTCACTGCAAAAATTGCTTAGAATGTAACACAAGTTCTCCTGCCTTAGTTGTGGAATTCTACTTCTCCTTCCTCATTAATTTGGAAAGCAAGATATAAACTGATTTAATGTACCATTCAAATATCCATTAGATGTCTTACGTGCCAGTGGGGAAGTACAGAGACAGGGCAAGTAGGAAAACAATCTTAGCTAGCCAAGACAGCTGACTGACATAAGGCCAGCTGTAGCTATGCTGAATTGATTCAAAATCTCTCCCAGGCTAGGACTTCAGACTTGATTCTGGTTTAATTTTCTACTAGCATAGTGGCTGTGCATCTGGGCAGAGCGGGGACTGAATTTGCCATATATTAGGCCAGGGCCAGGATAGTCCTAAGTAATTTCTAACATTCTCATCTTGGAAGAGGTTTGGATTCAGCACAGTTGTGCAGAATTTTACTTTGCAAGCATGTTCTCTCCTGCTAGGTTATTTTACCCAGAGTAGCTCGAGTTTGCAAGGATGACAGGGGTGGAAATCAAGAATTCCTGGAAAAAGAGTGGACTTCCTTCCTCAAGGCCCGCCTGGTGTGTGCATTTCCTGCAGATCCACCCCTTTTCTTTAACCACCTGGAATCAGTTACAGATGTTGTTAATGTCAATGGCCAGGACATGGTCTTTGCCATCTTCACTACTCCTAAACACAGGTAATTCACACAAGCGGTCTCCCTCTGATAGTTTACCAAGAGAAATATGGGTGGCATTTTCTTTGCTCTTCTTTCATACGATAAAAGTGCAGTAAGCAGAAGAAAAACTACAATTAATTGGTCTTAATCTGGAAGAAATGGACAAGTACAGTGGTGCCCCGCATAGCAACGATAATCCATTCCAAAAAAATTGTTGCTATGTGGTTTCGTCACTATGTGAAACAAAAAAGCCCATAGGAATGCATTAAAACACATTTGCGATCGCAAAAACTTAATCGCTATGCAGATTCGTCGTTAAACAGGGCGCCCGTTAAGTGAGGCACCACTGTATTGTACAATTTATGAATGGGAAAATAATGAGTAATCTCTTAGTCATGTCTACAATTCCTGATCTGTTTTCCTTTCCCATTTATGAAGAAATCCCTGCATTTTGGTACTTTCTTATCAAAAACAAAAAGCACAACATTCTCCTTACTCTCTATTTTTTTTCCCTTCTGAAATGTCATTGTGTAGCATTCCTACCTCTGCTTGTTGTGCTTTTGCTCTTGATGACATTGACAAGGTCTTTACTGGGAGATTTAAACAACAGAGGACTCCGGTTTCACTGTGGACACCAGTTCCTGACAATGAAGTGCCCACACCCAGGTATGTTCATGTCCTAAATATTTTCCATTATGGAAACGTTTTGCCACACTAGACTCTTTAGTACACAACATAAAAGCAATTAAGATAATTAAAGGTCTAGTCACACAGTCAAAAAAACCCCTCTGATTTGACCTGTGTTAAAAACTGTGCTGAGTTTCACATTCACACAATGAATTCCAAAGTGTGTATTTATTTTCCCCTGACTAGTTTCATTTTCTTAGGAAGCAAATGAAAATAAATGGCCACCAGAGGGTCATTTATTTTAGGACACTTTTCTCATTGTGAACCTTATAGCCAGTTTCAAAGTGAGCCTCTCTATGTGTAGCCGGTATAAGAACACAAGCTGAAAATACACAGCTTCTCAAATTGGTACATTAGCGGAAGAAGATTACACATTTCCATTACTCAGTAGAAATGCAGGAAATGACAAAAACCATGTGACTTGAGTGGGCTAAAATTAAAATGCCACATATTGTGTTTGGTTTTTTTTTGTTTGAGAAGTGTAGACAAGTCCTAAAACAATGAGGCAGATACATAACCTATGGAAGTGCTGCTATAGCTGTTCTCGTTCCATCCATACACCTGAGATCCCCAGTAAACCACAGTATGTGAATTTGAGGGTTGAAGCTATGGAGTCACCTGATTTGTCATATTTGGACAGATGTTTGTGCCTTTTTGGTTGGCTTAATAAAGATATTACCACAATATAGATTTTGGACCGTGCCATTTTAAAAGGGTTGGTGTTTGTTTGTGTGGTGTTTTGTTTGTTTGTTTGTTTTTGCTTTATTCAGATTGGAGATAAAAATTACATTAGACATTGTTCAACAATTCTATTATGTGGTGGTAAAGGAGAGGCAGAAGCAGACATAAACCATGAAGTAAATGGAAGGGGAAGAAATCATTTATCAAAAGTGGTCCTCAGCTTCACCTGGCAGCAATCTACATAATTTGGTTTTCCCACATGGCCTCTGGCATATTTTTACTTATTACTGGGTAATTTATAGAATGTTTTGAGTATATTTACATAAAAGTACTAAACAATTTCGTTGTCTCCATTTTGTTCGCTATCTAGGCCAGGTTCCTGTGCTGGTTCAGGATCACTTGAAGGATACGCATCATCCACTAGTATTCCAAGTGACACTCTAGCATTTTCCAGAACACATACTCTCATGGATGAATCAGTAAAAGCAGTTTCTCGCCATCCCTTGTTTTTACGCACACCTTTCATGGCTGAGTATGCATGTTTTCTTTTTCTTACCCACTCATCCCAAATTTGTTTGCATTTCTAGATGAACACGTCTTCATCAACAGTCACAAACCTAGCCCTGACATGGATGGTAAAATCAGTAGGAAAGCTGGAAAAGGAAATCATGAGACAATTAGAAAATTGCTTTAAGGGGGAGAGTTTCTTGGGTTTGTCATGATCTGTGTTACAGAAGTGGACAAACACTTGAATATAACTTACTGGCAGATCATGAGATTGTTTGCAATAGATTAGCAAGGGTCTTTCAATAGATTACCCAACTGTCTAACAATAGGATGGTCATTTATCTAACAATGGGAATGACAAAAACTTCCTTCCCATGAGAGACTAAAACTATTCCCACTCCTTTTTCAGAAATGCCTCTGAACAAAGCAAATTACCTAGATATGAATAACTGCAGGATTCTCCTTGAGGTTGCCCAAGACTATTGACTGATCGTCTGAATGTCTTTCTCTTATGCAGTGGCTCCCAATCTTGGGAACCCACGTGTTCTTGGTCTGCAACTCCTGGAAACAATTGATGGTGAAGGCTTCTGGGAACTGCAGTACAAGAATACCTGGATTACCCAAGGTTACAAACTATTGTCTTGGAGCATCTTGCTTGTGCAAGAAACTTCCTTTCTAATGCTGTGGTTAAAACTCTGTTACTTAGCTTAGTAAATCACACTAGAGTAGGCCCATTGAATGGGAATTTGGTGAGTCACCTCTGTAGATTCCATTGGTTCATATGGGCCTAATCTAACTAAAAAAAAAATTATGTTAAAGTTAGTGTAGTTGGAGTAGGCCCATTTTAATAAGTGGAACTTACAGGAGTCAACTCACTGAATCCCCATTGATTCAGTGGGCCTACGCTAGTGCATTTTACTAAGCTAAGTAACATGATGTTGGGAATGCCCCTTCCCCAGCAAGGATGTTTTCTGTTATCAGAGATTTTAATATATGTTATACATTTAATATATGTTATATATTTAATATATGTTATTTCAAGAGAGATTTGTATACTTTCAAGGAGATAGACTGTGCCATTACATTTTAATGATTGGTATTTCTTGTCCTGCATTTTACTAAGCTAAGTAACATGACGTTGGGAATGTCCCTTCCCCAGCAAGGATGTTTTCTGTTATCAGAGATTTTAATATATGTTATACATTTAATATATGTTATATATTTAATATATGTTATTTCAAGAGAGATTTGTATACTTTCAAGGAGATAGACTGTGCCATTACATTTTAATGATTGGTATTTCTTGTCACTGCTTTATTGGTTGCAGTCAAGGGCTGATTTGATGCATATACTGTAAGCAGATCCTTGCATTCAACCTTATCCCAGACAAGAGATTCTCTTCCCATAGGGATTAAGGAGTAGAGCAGTGATCCCCAACCTTGGGCCTCCAGATGTTCTTGGACTTCAACTCCCAGAAATCCTAGCCAGTAGAGATGGTGGTGAAGGCTTCTGGGAGTTGTAGTCCAAGAACATCTGGAGGCCCAAGTTTGGGGACCACTGGAGTAGAGGACTGATGGGTGTGCCTGGCTCCAGGGAGCCACTATATTTCCTTACAGCTGGCTCCAATGGGTCTTCCCCTTGCACTAGGGAGTTCAGATCCACCTCTGGTTGCTAGTCCTTGGCTACCCAGCAACAGGCTACAAAGGTGGATAGTGGATGGGTGAATGGCCTGATGCAGAGATCTGCTCCTTCTGCAATGCCGATATTTTTCTGCTGCAACCAATTTGAGCTGTGGCCTTTTTACGGCCATCAAATTCAAATTATCCTTCAAAAACAGTCAAGCTATGGACAGTGATGTGTTTTCTTAGTGGGCAGAGTAGTGTTCTGGTTCTTCTTGCCTGGATTCACAAGGGTGTTGTGACTCCTTGTCCTCACCTGGAGGAAAAATTGAGTTTTACCTCCATAGTTTGTTTATATGTAGATGCAAAGCACTAATGCGGTTATAAAATGCTTGTGTGCCAAGCAGAAGAACTGATAAAAGACAAGCTGAAATAGTGGAGAAGTGAATGGAAATGTGATGTTATCATTCCAGGGAAGCCGTGGTCAAAATTGCTGTCGATACTGCTGCTGGGCCAAATGAAGATCACACTGTTCTTTTTATTGGATCAGAGCGTGGACGACTTTCAAAGGTCTTGCTCAGGAAAGAAGGCAGTGTGTTGCTGGAGGAGATGTACATTTACAATTACCAAACGTGTGTATCATTATTCCCGATTCTATACTTATTAAATCAATAAGTGATGTGAATTCTGAATTCTCAAGCATACTGCTTCCATACGGAAATCTGTTTAGTTAATCTGGTAAAATTTAATTCTAAATATATTTATTTGTAAGATGTGTTGGATCCAAACTGTGCAATCATATATACATGTCTATTCAGAAGCAAGCTCCAGTGAATTCAATGGGCTTACTGTGCTTCTGTGAAAGACACTTATATGGGTTGCACTTAGGTTGTATTGAAATCACTCCTTTGTTTTGTTCATATCTGGATGGAAAGTCAGGAGTTTGATTCTCCACTATGCCTCCTAAGAAAAGAGCCAATTTGTTGGATTCAACATGTAGTATTTGTGTTCCTAACACCAAATAAAGAATTAACTGCCTCAATTGCTTTTACCACAGACTGCAATTATGTATCACTGAAAGTTGATAACACACCAAAGTATTTGAACGAAACATATCAAGGTTGTCAAAAATCAGAAGACGACACAAAAAGACCTAGAAGATAACAATATCACCGTATGGATTTTAGGAGTTGTTTGGTGCTAGAATGGCAACCCCTGTTTATGTTCATGGCAAATAAGATGACTGGAATAGATTGAGTTGTAGAAGGGATAGCTGTGTTGGCCTGTGCAAACATTATAGCTAAAGGAAAATAGAAGTTTAAAAAACACAAAACATGGTGGCGTCTTGAATACTAACTTTTATGTTTTTTTAATGTGAGCTTTCATGGACAAGTCCACTTCACCAGACATAAGACCTAAACTAGTTTGAGGACGTCTGAAGAGTCTGACTTCAGTCTGAGGTCTTCCTTATGGGTGACCTGGGTCTACATTTCCTGGATTGCCTGTTTGCCAAAGGCAGTTTACATCCTAGAATCCTCAAAAGGGCAGAAGCATCTAGGAGGAAAAATACAAATACGAAAAATTTGCAACAGAAAATGTGCAAAATGCAGGTTGCGCATAGCATGGCTTGACCATGCTTAAGACATGGTAGGGATGTGTTTAATGTGTATTAAAAATAATTCTATTCCCCCCCCCCTTTGAAGTATGGCGAGGAGGGCAGGAAAGCCAGGTTCAGAAAAAAATGAGCAATTCCTGGAAAAAAGGAACAAGTGCATGAGTGCAGACTTTTTAGAAAAATATTTATATCTGGACAATACATAGGCCACTGGTCTGGTCCAGCATGGGTCCTGCTCATGTTCTTAACATGTTGGCTTACATGAAGATGATTCAATGCTGCTTAAAGTAATAGAAGAATAAAAGTTTTGGTTTTTTTCTGGGCTGAAAATTTCCATTTTCCTGATTTTATCTTGACTTCTGATCAATCAAACAGTCCAAGAATTATTGATTTTTCTCCTCCTTCAAATCAGGTGTCTACACAGTGAAGCAACAAGAAACAAAATAATAGACATGAAGGTGGACAAGCCAAATAAAGTTCTTTATGTTGCCTTCGCCCACTGTGTAATAAAAGTTCCATTGGGAGGCTGCGAGCGTCATGGTCCATGCAAAAAGTAAGCATTCTTGCCACCTTTTCTCATTAGTTTTTTTTTTCAAGGCTATATCAAGTATTAAGACTATTAGTAAGCAATTTTCAACTCATCCATGTTTGTCTCCCCTGTGCAGGGCTTGTATACGCTCCAGAGACCCCTACTGCGGATGGGCAAATGAAGCATGCATCCATCTCGTTCCTGGAATTCCGTAAGTCATAATCAGTTTTGGTAGATCTTGTGTTTGATTGACAGAGTTGCTCTCGTAGCCTTTCTGATGACACTCTAGTGAAAACCGACAGGCAGTAAAGGGCTTATTGAAGGTGATAGATGATAAATGTGTTTTCATGGTTGTTTGCTCTGCTAGCACAGTATTGGTTTAGTTCCTTTCTTTCTAGATGCAACTTTAGGTGCAACGTACAATTAGCTAAAATGACATCCCTCTTCTAGCTCTGTTTTTCTGTCCTGTAAGAGAATTTCAGGGATACCTTATCTCTTGCTGTAATCCACTCCTCTTCCTTTTTCTACAACTGATCAGCATTACTGGCAGCAGCAAGAAAGAAACACAGAAAATAATGAGGTCCAACCTAAGCAAGGCAACTAAGCCTAGATATTCAGGCCACACAGGGGTCTCCAATTTCATCAGGAGGCCAGTTCATGGCTTCCAAATACAGTGGTGCCTCGCTTAATGGGCGCCCCGTTTAACGACAAAATCGCATAGCAATGAAGATTTTGTGATCGCAAAAGCGATCGCATTGCGATGTTCCCTATGGGAAAAAATCGCTTTGCGATGATCGGTACCCTGTTTCGCTTACCAATCATTGCAAAGCGATGATTTTCTAACAGCTGGTCGGTAGTTCCAAAATGGCCACCGGATAAACAAAATGGCCACCCGCTGTGTTTTCGTGCTGATTCCTCGCTTACCGGGCAGCGAAAATGGCGGCCATATGGAAGATTTTCACTTAAAGGTGAGTTTTCAGCCCATAGGAACGCATTGAAGGGGTTTCAATGCATTCCTATGGGCTTTTTAAAATCGCATAGCGACGAAATCACTTTGCAGTGATTTTTGCTGCACGGATTATCGTCACTATGCGAGGCACCACTGTAGATCCTAATTCTGTCTGGAGTGACTGATACTCTGTATTAGGGAGGGGCATGAACAGAACCTCGAACAACACACCTAGCTGGTTCTCGGAGCCAGAATATTACCATAATCTCCAATTTGATTTTTTGTTAATTATCATCATTAGAGATGGATATGAACTGCTAAATCTGTGGTAGTTCATTTTTCAGTCGAACTACCACAGATTTAGTAGTTCAGCACTTCCCAGCTGCACCTCCTCTGGCGGGTGCTCACTCAGAGAAAGTGAAGTGGGGGCATCATCATCATCTTAGAACTTCTGAGGTGGAAGGCCGGATTGACTTCTGCTTTTTCATACAACCAAAATAACATGCCAATGGGAAAGGCCTGAAATATGTAGTGAAAATTCCAGGTGACTTTCAAATTTTCGTCATAGAGCCAAGTGGCTCTGATCACTTCTGTATGTAAAGATGATTTTGGGTAGAGCTAGTGGCTTTCCCCAAAGAAATCTAAAAACAATACGACATGTTTTCTTATATTTACACCGTCTGAGTGATGTAAGAAAAGCATCACATGGAGAGAGCTGTATGCACAGTTATTCATTTCACACCATTACACTTGTGTTGTTTAGGGTCGACTATGAGCAGGACATTGAGCATGGCAACACTGATGGCCTGGAAGATTGCTGAAGCGAGCAACAGTGGATGTTTTTCTTTCATTCACTCCAACATGGAGAAATCCTCTGTCAATGCTTGAATTCTGTGAGCTCAAGAGCACGGTATCCACAAAAGATGTGCAATTCTTGATCAGCTTTTGTTCAAAACTGTTTCCAATTTCTGAACCGAAACAGAAACAGAACCGTGTTTGGAAAACAATAGGGCAGAGATCTTTATTGGAATAGATGACAGTGAAAGCATTTTTAAAGAACTTAATTGTTTGATGGATTTAATTGGCTGAATTAAATTGAAGTACTTCATTGTATTAATAGATTTGGGGTCCTTGATTTCTTTTTTTCACTGCTCTAGACCTTTGAAATGCAGACATGGCACCAAAATGGCTATAGTGTGAATTGGAAGGTGGAATAAAGTTATGAAATACAGCAATTTAGATTAAACTAGTGCAGTGGTTCCCAACTCAAAGTGCTGGTTCTAATCTATAAAGCCCTAAATGGCTTGGGTCCAAGCTGTCTCAAATATAACATCCCCCTTTCTGAGCCTACTCAGATCATCAGGAGAGGCCATTCTTTTGGTCCCACCACCATCACGGGTAGGTTTGATGGGGATATGGGAGAGGATGTTGCTTCTCCTAGACTCTGGAACTCCCTCCCACTAGAGGCCAGGTAGGCCTCATCTTTGTTGTCCTTCCACAAGCAGACAAAGATCTTTCTCTTCAAGCAAGCTTTCCCTCAGTGACTTTCTGCCTGAGTGGGGTGTTAAGTGGATTGTTGTGCCTTACTGCTTTTGAATGTGTTTTTAGTGTTGTTCTTGGTCACTATGTTGTAGTGTGGTATTTGACCCTTTCTGTGACTGTTTTTAACTTTAACTTTGTCTTTTAATGACATAAGCTGCTTTGGACCCTTTTAAAGGCAGGGTAAAAGTATGTTAAATAAATCAATGAACCTTGTGTCCCCATATGTTCTTGGACTACAACTCACAGAAATTCCGGCCAGCACAGCTAAAGGGGAAGGGCGTCCAAGAAAACCTGACCTAGCTAACCTGGTGTCAGGTCAAAAATTCTTCTCACTGCTGAAGTGACCAGCAGAGTGCCTTCTGAAAGCTAGGGAGCATTGTTGACGATCCATGAGGAGAAAGTGGGAAAAGCAAAACTTGGACAGGTATCATCACACCCACACATCTCAACATAACACGCAGATAGAGCATAAGGGTCCTGCGTTTTTCATGATCCTTGCAACCTCATTGGCACTCTCGATAGAGTCAGAGATCCATGTACCAATTACACAATCATGAGGAAGGTATTCCCAAAGCTGGGCACTCAACAATGTTCTTCCTCTTGTTTCTTATGAGCAACTAAAGAAATCTGGAAAAGACCCTCCCTGGGGATGAAATAAGGACAAGGTGGTACAAGCAGAGGTGATTCTTTTTGCTGGTCAATGACTGTAATAGAACACTTATTTATTTATAGAGGTGGTCCTTGATGTTCCATTTTTTTTCTTTACATGTTTACAGTGGAATAGATGGTATTTCCGAATATTGTCCCATCTAATCATTGTCCTAACTTAGACCTGTCTAGCTACTGAGAGAAAACCATATTAGGTCTTTTGCAGTACCTTGAAAAGAAAAATTCAGTGCACTCAGAGGAAGATTGCACATTTGTTGATTGCTCTCCTCAGGGCTTCCTTCACCTCTTTGTTCCTTAGGCTGTATATAAGGGGATTGAGCAAAGGCGTTACAATAGTATAAAAGACAGAGAAGGTTCTTTTCAGTTCTCCTAGCTGATTGCTATCTTGCAAAAGATAAACAGTGATAAGGCTACCATAAAAAATTGTCACCACAATGAGGTGTGAAGAGCAGGTTGAGAAAGCTTTTTTCTTCCCTGTGGTGGATGGGATCCCAACTATGGTAGTAATGATGTATGCATATGAGGAGAGGGTTAAAAGAAATGGTGGAAAGGTGGAAATGGATGTTAGAATGGCTGATACAAGTTTCACCAGATGTACATCACTGCACGCCAGATTCATCATTGGCATGAAATCACAGAAGAAATGTTCAATGACATTATGGCCACAGAAGGTTAATTGCAATATAAATATTAACAATATTGTGTCTATCGCAAAGCTGCCAATCCAAGACCCTGACACCAGCTGAATGCAAAGCCTGGAATTCATGAGTGTAGAGTAATGCAGTGGTCTACATATTGCTACATAACGATCGTAAGACATTGCTGCCAGGAGATAGCACTCCGCTACAGCTAAGAAAACAAACGCCCAGAGCTGAGCAATACAGCCGTGAACAGAAACACTTTGGTTTTCATTTAATAAAGCAGCGAGTATTCTAGGGAGGATAGTGGAACTGTAGCAGGTCTCCAAGCAAGACAAATTCCCAAGGAAGAAATACATGGGTCAGTGTAGGTTCTGATCAGTTGCAACTAAAATAACAATGAGAAGGTTCCCAGCCATAGTCATGAGGTAGATCATGAGAAACACCACAAACAGAAGAAGCTGGAGGTGCTGGAGGTCTCCAAAACCATGAAGAACGAATTCACTAATAATTGTTTCATTTCTCATCTCCAGCGTCTGTGTGATGTTTGTCTAGTGGGAAAAATAATGGTATTGTATAATTAGTATATGACAATTTTGCACTAAGAACAACCAATAGAATTTTCTGGAAATATTGTTCTTGGAGCTATTTGAGAAATATTTTCCTCCCAGAAAATATTTGGAACAATACACACACACACACACACACACACCCTCTCTCTCTCTCTCTCTCTCTCTCTCTCTCTCTA